ACATGCACAGCTCAGGCAAATGGAGTTGCACACGTGAGCAAACACTGCTTGCGCTAGTGGATCTGCACATATGCATTTTCCCATAACATGGTTTCAAAAAGGCCGCAGCACACTAGTGGGCCGCAGTCTGGAAGGTTGTGGACCCCTGATATATATAATTTATTAACATGAGATTATATGAGGTATTTTAATTTTGTAATTCTTGGAAAATAAATTCCAGTATAAAAATGTTATTTAGACTTCACAGACATCTTTATAAATACTTATATTTGGGAGAATCAAACATTTTGTTGGGGAATATAACAACAGTAACAATTATAATGATGTGTACATGTGAATTTGAATTGAATTTAAAGAATTCAAAGATGGGCTTCCATCCTTCCAAGGTCAGTAAAATGAGGACACAGATTGTTGGTGACAATTTGTTGACATTTGTAAACTGCTCAGAGAGTGATGTAAAGTAGTATGGAGTGGTATATAAGTCTAAGTGCTATTGCTATGTGATTGCTTTATGTTATAAAATTGTATTTTGTTGGACTTACACTTGGTTTCATTAACTTCTTACAAATTAATAACCATTACACAAGTATTCCTTAATCTTAACAATTAGGTAAAATTATATTAAAAGAAGAGAAGAACATTTACATCATACTAAAATAAGGGCAACTGAGATTCTCCTATACAGGCTATATAGATTATGCTAGCGACGTTGATCCATCTGCAACACTGTGAGCTTGTTTTGACAAAACAGCTTATGTATCAAATTCCTTGACAGTTTTAAAAATGAAAACAGCTGTAGGAAATATAACAGTGCTGTATAGGTGGAATAATGGATAGATACGCTTAGCTAACACATTCCTCATGTGATATTATAGGCAGGCAGGTAAGAGACCAAACAGAAACAAGTAATGGCTGATTGGGAAAAGCATTAAAATACATCAAAATACTGTGTTTGACATCCAGGGAAGGACAAAGTTGATAAGCAGAGTTTTATTTTCAATCTTGCAAGGTACTATAGCAGTGAAGACTAACAGAGCCTTAAAGGCAAAAAGCTTCAACGTCCTTGTAATCGTCCAGTAATAAACATTTGAGACAGGATTTTGTAATGTAAGCATTGGCAGCGGTAACTCTTCCTCCGCATTCTCAAAGAATAGGCTAGGAAGATGATAGTGTATATAAACCTTATCTAATAAACTTGTATCTCATTTTTTGTGAAAGGCCATTTGCACATTTATACTGATTTAAGATTGCTTTAAAATGACTTTCAATGTAGTATTGGGAGTTTTTCATGCATACATTTACATATGAAATCAAGTCTTTGCAGGCCTGTAATGGGAAGAAATAGTTGTAGTGCCTACTAAGAACACAACATTCTCCATGTGCCAGATTCTACTGCACATAATGTAGCATATGAAACAGCACAATGGATAAGCCTTGACGCCAGAAAAGGAGAAATATAACACATTGAATCAATTTGACTTTCCGTGAAAAACCATGAAAGAAAATTAACTTGGAATATCCTTGCCAGTTGCAAGTTAGTTTTCATTTTCTGGATTGTGTGAACTACTTATCTTTAAAACTAAAGAAATGACCTTTTCTGTGGAATTCTATTGAACAAAGAATATGAGAGATTCTCACCAAACGACAATCAGTTATGAAAGAAAAGTTCTGACTATTATTTTTAATAGAATCTGGATATCAACAAATCTCTTATAACAGTAGTTCTTAAACTGGAGGGGGGCTTAATTATTTTCAAGGAGCATCTGTGGGTATATACTGGCACTAATTTGTACTTGTATGTAAGTAGAAGTTTCAGTTTGGGACAGTCACTGCAAAGGTGCTTGCGTAAAATAAAATCTTGGGGCGTGTATGTGTAATTATTGTACATGCATTATTCAAGACCTGGAAAATTACCATTGGGTGAAACAATTTCAAAACCACCTCCCTTTACCGTTGGTTTCAGCCAGAAAGGAGATAGGCTGTTTTCCAAATCTCTCTCTACCTTTCTTCCAATAAGCTAATATAAACTACCAGTAAATCCTCTTTGGTGCTATGACTTTGTGTTATACAGTTAATTCATCTGATTGCCAGGTTGGTGAGATTAATATTGGTTTCTTAGTTTGATATTTATGTTGTTTTATGTCTTCAAGCTATGTTTATCATTTGAAGAAACACAGGAGCAAAAATGAGACGTTTTACAAAATTCTGAGCTTTGCTGTCTCAGGATGGAGTTTTTGTTCTGGGGCTAAAACGGTTTATGGCAGAGTGTTGAACTAGATGACCCTGAACCCTGCTCCCTACCCTACAATTCAATGATTCAGTGACCGGCACCCTCTTCCTAGTCAGTAAAGGTTATATAGTCCTTGAAGAGAATATTGGCACATTGTCTGAATCTAAAATAGAAATCTTATTGTCCTGTGTACATTTCATACTTCCCTGTTGGAAAAGATTTTGTACATATTATCTTTACATCCTTTTACCGTAGTCTGTGATTCATTCATCCTTCCTCTGAACAGGCACACAAATCTGAAAGGAATTCAAAGCTGCGGGATTAATTGAATACAATATTTACATGCATAGCTGATTCATGTAGCCCTCTGTTAAAAATCTACATGCTTAACCATCAGCTATTTTTATGAATGTGTAAATAGAATGTGTGCAATGCTGCCTTTGGATAATTTGTCTGATCAGCCCAATAACCTGCAGATAAGTATATATGCACAATATATATTGGAATTAATCTTTCTTTCATTGCACAGTTGTACTAATGGGTAATATATTGATTTATATAAAGAGAAAAATAATTTATCTTTTCCCAGCATCTTTCACATTAGGTTCGAATAAATAAAACAGAGCTACACATAGGGATAATCATGCCATTTAGGCCTTGGTTTAAGCCCTGATTCAATACAGCAAGCTTTATATATTATTCCATTTCTGCTTTCTGATTCTCCTGAGCAGTCTGAGCTTAAGGACACTCATCTGCCACCTTGCAGCTTTTATGTAATGGAATGGTCTGTATCCTTCATACAAAAGTCCTCCCTTGGGTTATGTTTTCCCAAACTTGTATAAAGCGAAGTTGCATATAGTAAGACACAGACCCATTTTTTTTTGGGGGGGGGGAGATGGTGCCAAATGCACTGATAAATATATTCATAATTTTTTATTCTTAAGCACCCTTGTCACGCAGGCCCGAATTCCAAGCTCACAATGGGTAACTGATTGTCCAGGAAAGCAGTCCAGGAGTTGAACAGGCCAGGATACACTGCAAGAGCACACAAGGCACAGATCTAGGCATGTTGCTCCAGCAACACTCAAGTTCTCAGGGTTAAGAAGGCAATGCTGGTGCAGCCCTTTAGGAGAGGCAAGATTGTCTCCTCATGCGTAATCTAGCTGACTAGCATTGAGCCAATCAGTCTCCTCTCTGCTCTAAGTGTCCCTTGGATGAGAAGGAGGTATGGACTTCACCTACTCCTCGTTACTAATGGGCTGCAGGTGTCCCCTGTCCTTGCCTGGAGCCTGTTTCTGGTCAGATTGACCTAGCTGAGGCTGCTCCATCAGGCTAGCGTTCTCTGAGTCTCGATCCTGACCAATACCTGGCTCCACAGTTTTCCTTTGTAGATTCAAACTCACTCTCCTCCTCTGAACTCCCATCTAGAAAGAGGTTCCAGGAGCAAATCTATGACAGTTTTGTGTACAATGAAGATAGTTTTCTCCATTTTTTTCTCCAGCTGCATTTCTAACACACATGGTTATCGAGGCAGGCAAAGAGGAGTGTGCATCATGGCACTACAAATTATTATATCTGGCATGATATAGCAAACATTTAGGATTATATACCACTTCATAGTACTTTACAACACTTTCTGGGCGGTTTACAATCTAAGTATTATGTGCCCCCAACAATCTAGTTTCTTTTTTTACGGACCTTGGAAAGATGCAAGGCTGAGTCAACAATGAGCTCAGTCAGGATCGAACTCCAGGCTATGGTTAAGAGTTTGCCTACAATATTGCACTTTACCTACTGCACAATCAGGGCTCTTAATATGTCCAACTTTATTTCTCTATTTGAACAGTCCTTTTTCTTTTGGGAAAAGGGTTGGGCAAGTCTTTGAAGGCTCTTTTGGAGCAACAATAATAGTAGGAAAGGGAGCGAGAGAGTGCAAACACACAATTACACAACGGGATGCTAAATGTGTGAATGAAGGCCAAGAAGTGGTTTGGTGGGAAAATGTTCAGGTGATTTTCATGGGAAACATTTTAGACCTCTGGTGCAAAGTGACTGTGCTGATATAAATTACATAGAAGCAGATTCCCCCCCCCCCACTTAAAACAAATTCTAGGATGAAAATATTCATTAGCACAAATACAAATTTGCATAAGGTGGGGGGGGATCTGAAATATGACAGGCCAGACAAGACTTTTTGGAGTTTTGCAGTAACTGTTCATACTTCCCTTGTTGATCTGAAAAAAACTTGCTTGAAGGTTTTTCACCAGAAGAAAAGTCAGATCTGAGGCTTTGTTTTGCATCTGTAATTAGTTTTAAATAGTAGAGGGGCTGCCTCAGAGGCCTGTCTTTAACCTGACATTGCAGCTAAGCACTTCTCAGATTTCATGACTTGGTTTGCTTCAGGGTGGAAACATCTGTCTTCAGAGTCACCTTGATGCCTAAGCTTGTAGTATAATAGAAAGTGATATAGCTCAGGAATAAGAGCATCCATATAAATCATCTTATACTATTCTGCTGCCTTCCAGATGTATTGGACTTCTGCACCTTAAAAATCTTCAACTAAATGATGTGAGGGATTTGGGGAGTTCATGCTGGATGCATTGATTGAGCACCAGGTTGGGAAACCTGAACTAGCATTATGTTGGCACTTTGGCATGAAACTTCATATGGTTGACATGGAATTGTTAAGAGACTTTCCATCCAGATATTGAGACATTTTCAACAAGGTTTCTGCATTATGTCTCTTCAGAATAGGTTGTTAACAATTTGATCTGATCTATTGATCATGCCTTTAAAATCGTATTTAATTTTATTTCTCTTCCTGCAGGCAGTCCTCGACTTACGACCACAATTGAGATCACAATTTATATTGTTAAGTGAGACATTTGTTAAGTGAGTTTTGCCCCACTTTATGACTTTTCTTGCCACAGTTGTTAAGAGGATCACTGTGGTTGATAAGTTAGTTAACCTGGTTAAGTGAATTTGGCTTCCCCATTGACTGCTTGTCAAAAGGTTGAAAATGTGATCATATGGCCTTGAAACACACAATGGTCATAATATGAACCAGTTGCCAAGCAACTGAATTTTGATCATATGAGCTTCAAAGCTCATAACTCTGAAAAAGGGTCATAAATCACTTTTTTTCAATGCCATTGTAACTTTGAGTGGTCACTAAGTGAACTCTTATATGTTGAGGACTACCAGTACTTAAAGAATATTCCAACCCAATATCTGGGTTGGAATATTTAGACAACGACTAAAGTTTGCAAGGATTAAGTTTTCTGGAAGTGTGGGGTGTTAAATGTGCTACATTACAAATTTGTTTTTTTTCTGTCTCCCAATAATCTAGCAGGTTCAAATATAGTATAAAAATATTCATATTTAATGGCCATTCTACATCATGCTTAGATGCAGGAAAAGACCCAATAAGCAGTAGGGGAAAAACGAATGTGTATTTAAAACCTGGACATTTACTTTTCTTTTCCCCCCATCTCTTTCATTTTTAATAGGTACCTCTTACTGAGCCTGTGGATCCAGTGGATTTGGAAGATTACCTTCTTACACATCCACTTGCAGTGGATTCCGGCCCTATGAGAGACTTGTTTGAATTTCCTTCTGATGATATTGAAGTCATCTACAGCCCTCGAGAATGCAGAACATTGGTGTCAGCTGTACCAGAGGAAAGGTAAGAAACAGAGAGGAAAATGTACCCAGATCGCACACGGATACCCATGTACTGTATGTATATTTGAGATTTATGTATACAATAGTATCCTAGTATTAGAACTTGGTGTCAATTCCCTTGTGACTTACTACATTATTCCTTATGGGAAAAAATTGTTTGGTACTCATTGCTTTTGGAACTCATCACGCCTCCCAGAACCAATTAATGATGAGTACCAAAGTACCACTGTATTATGCACTTCCTTCCTTCTTTCTTCCTCATTGGATTTTTTTTTGGAAAATTCTCTTTCAATCTCAAGTTCTTGAAGAATTCATGACATGTCAATGTCAGTTTTATTGACAATCATTCACAATTACTTTGCCCTTCTTTTCTGTTGTTATACTTTAGTAAACTTCAAATTAAGGAAAGGGAGGCATCAAAATTAATAGTAGTATTTTGTTTATTTAAATTTCTTTTGGTTAACTATCCTGAATATTCAATGTATTTGGAGGGGAACATGAATTGAAAAGAAAAGAAAAGATAAATATTTGTATGGTGGAGACTACTTAGATTTGTTTTTGTTAGTTGCAAAGTTTTGTCCAACCCATTGCGACACCAATGGACAATGTTTCTCCAGGCCTACCCATCCTCTACCATCCTCTGGAGTCCATTTAAGCTCATGGCTACTGCTTCGGTGACTTCATCCAGCCACCTCATTCTCTGTCGTCTCCTTTTACCCTCAATCCTTCCCAGCATTAGGCTCTACTTCATTGAGTCCTTCCTTCTCATTAGGTGGCCAAAGTAGATTTGTTGGCCAATTAGAAATAAGATTTTTGGAATCTTTGTGGTCTAGAAAAAATAGTGACACCTCTTTCTTGTTTCATCTCTTTCATTTGCAGTGAAATGGACCCACACGTGAGAGACTGTGTAAGAAGTTATACAGAAGACTGGGCTATTGTGAATAGAAAGTAAGTGTTTATATTTAAATAAACACAATTGTGCAAGGGGACATAAACAGTGACCATTATCTATAAAAATGGAGTGCTGCTTTCTGAACACTGTCAAGCAGCCATCACTAACTTTCACTAATAAAAATGAACTCGTTGTAAGTATTGGTTTGCTCCTAGGCAGCAATTTGGTTTTGCAGGAAGAGTGGGCCATTGCCCTCATGGGAAGCTTCTTTCAAGCCTTGATGCAGTATTAGAAAAAGAAGCCTGGATTTGATTTGATTTCTAACTTGCATGAAATACACCACACACCTCTGTGTGCTATAGAGGAGGTTCATAAAAACTTAACCTTGACATCTCAAACAGTATTCCCGTTGTTCTGGTTGCTCATTTTGGACTAGGTATGCAGCATAGTGTAGATAACTTGCCACCAGCAGATCTATTCAAATGCCATTTATGCCTGAGTCAAAAATATCTATTAGTAACATAACTCCTGTTTTTCCTGTTGTCTTTGGAATTTTTAAAAATAGAAATTGAAAGAAAGAGTGGATGAAAGACATATGGAAGGGAAAAGATGACCCAAAGAAAGAAGTGGGGGAAAAATAAATGGGAGGACGCTTTTAGTTTATGCTCAATGGCAGTCTGTCTGAAGTTGCCAAAGATTGCCCCCTTTGAAGTAATGGCTGCTAATATTTCAAATTACATGAAATAATTTCTATTTCTAAATAGCAAATTTAATCTCTTGGGGGATTGATGGAAACACTGTTCCATAGAGAGATACTTTTGGGGTGAAATTAGAAACGAACAATGGTGTTTCTTTCAAAACAATTCAGCAAATTACAAACTGAATTCTGTCTCCCTTCATCCTGAAGCAATTATCGTATTTTTTTGGAGTATAAGACACACTCCCCGCCCCCCTAAAAGAGGCTAATTTTTTTGCTGCGTCTTATACTCTGAATGTAGCCCTGCCCACCTGCCGGCCCCCATCCTTCGGTCTCCATGAATCCTTTTCCTGGCTGCAGAGATTGCCACAGACAATGGCTTGCGCTTTTGGGCTCTGTGCTTTGCGTTTTTAGCCTCCAAACACTCCATTTGAGACCCGTTCAAGGCTGTTGGGATCACCAGAATACATCACCACCAATTGCTGCCTCCTTGCAGCGTGTTTTCAGCCTCTGCACATTACATTTTAGGCCTCCACACGCACCGTTTTTGGCCTCTGCACGTCATGTTTTTGGGCACTCACATGCTCACAACCAGTGAAATGTGCTGAAGCTGATCAGGCTGAGGACACTAGCCAGATGAATACCTAGTAGGCAGAATTCCCCGCCCCCTATTTTCCTCCTTAGTTTTTTCCCAAAAACTAAGATGTGTCTTAAGCTCTGGAGCGTCGTATACTCTGAAAAATACGCTAAACTGGGCATTTCAGATTTTTTGACCCTGGCAGTAATAAACCTTGCCTGTTGGTCATGCTTACCATGCTCAGAGGAACAGGAATTCAGAACTGTGGGAGAACTTCAAGGTACACCCCGCCCCCAACCGTACAATACAGAACTACATTTTATGTTATGAGATTATTTCTACTGATCAGTAGTCATGAAGGCTCATGATAGAATAGAAATAAATGTATAGGATCATGTTGCCATGTTACATGTTTCCTAACAACACTTTATTGCCAGTAAAAAGTCCTGAGTTATTTGGGATGTAGTTCTGTTTCTCCTTTATATAGAATGTGAATTCTTTTTATTGTATACCTTCAGTGTTCCCCAGAGAGAGTGGCCAGAATGAACTCTTAAGAGCTTAAAATGTAAAAGTAAAATGATCAAATACAATCTTAATCATGTGGATATATTGGCATTTTTAACCTATCTATTCCATTTGACAGTTCTCCTTGTTAAGGGTGTTGTGTTTGATTTCACCTTCAATATATTTAGTGTTCTTTATGCATCCGCATTTAGAATGGAGATGCTAGGGATATTTTTTTTATTTTTTTTCTTTAAAAAAAAAGGAATTTTAGGCATTGAAATACCAAGACAGATGGAGGAAGATAAATAGAACCAAAAAAGAAACAGTAAAAAGTATGCGTTTGGAACTAAAACAGCAAAATGGAATTTTTTATGAGCATATATTATTTCTTCAGCTGAATTGTGCTGAAGAAATTTGTATTTTTATGATAATTGCACTCTAGCTGAATATACTTGATATGACCCTTAAGGACATATTTCCAATATTTCAAGGGAAATATTAACTTCTAGATTCTGTATTACGATGGAAGTATCCTCTGCTTGTAGAAGAGAATATGAGAGGCTATCTCTCTATTAAAATCAGAATGTACAATGTAAAACAATTCAGAATATCAAATTGCTATAGCAGTCAAAAACACCTAAAAGCTGCAATAAATTACTTGTCCCCTCCTCTCAGCTTAATTTTGTATCATAATTTATTGGAACTAATTGGTGAGCATTCATATATATTATGTAATACAGATGTGATTATACTTGTTAGCAGTGACTGCTTATTGGAACAAAGGAACTATACAAATTGAGGATTATAATAGAACTGAGATGGCACAGTGGTTAGAGTGCAATACTGCAGGCTACTTCAGCTGACTGCTAGCTGCAGTTCGGTAGTTCAAATGTCACCAAGCTCAAGGTTGACTCAACCTTCCGAGGTGGTAAAATGAGAACCCAGATTGTTGGGGGCAATATGCTGACTCTGTAAACTGCTTAGAGAGGCTGTGACAGCACTATGAAGCGGTATATAAGTCTAAGTGCTATTCTTAAATGTACTTTAGCGAAAACAGTTGAACTTTCTTAGACCCAAAACAGCTTCTTCTAGAATATCCTACTATGAATATTATTTTGACTATTAAAAATTATTTTTGATGATTGGATTAAGCTTTTAAGAGTCAATAACTTGGGCGGTTTTTTTTACTTTTTGAAGCGAGGCAGGGCTGCAATTTAATTTGCTTTTCTTTGTTTTTGAATAGGTATCACAAACTGGGGACAGGATTCAATCCCAACACCTTGGACAAGCAAAAAGAAAGGCAAAAGGGCTTGCCCAAACAGATGTTTGAGTCTGATGAAGCTCCAGATGGCAACAGTTACCAGGATGAACAAGTAATATTGCTCGGTTTACTTCATTAAAATTATTTGCTATGGTTTTTATGGCTGTGATTCCTTTACAAATTGTGTTGGATTTGTGGTTCTTTCTGAATTTGGTCGTTTTCTTGTAAAGGACAACCAAGCTCAGAGAGCACCAAGAACTCAAGAATTCAATATTCATATACATTCTCTTCTATTTGATTTATCATTAGGATGATCTGAAAAGACGGTCCATGTCAATAGATGATACTCCACGAGGTAGCTGGGCCTGCAGTATTTTTGACTTGAAAAATTCCCTTCCCGATGCTTTGCTCTCTAATCTTCTGGATCGGACCCCAAATGAAGAAATTGATCACCAAAATGATGAACAAAGGAAATCCAACAGACACAAGGAGCTCTTTGCCTTGCATCCAGCACCTGACGAGGTACTGGTTTGGATACTTGATGTTTGACTTTAATTTATGTTTTAATTCTATATGTATAGACATATTTTTATGACTGTAAACCACCCAGGGTTACCCTATTGTAAGATGGACAGCCAATAAATTAAAACAAGAAAACAAACAAATAAGTAATAACTAATAAACTAAACTAAGTGAAAAAATATTTTGTGTTAATTCATACCAGGGTGGATTTGATTTAAATCAAGTTGATTTAAATCACGATATAAATCATGATTTAAATCACTAGTAAAAAGGCTTGATTTAAATTAACTCGATTTAAATCATAATTTAAGGTGAGCCATGGTGGCACAGTGGTTAGAGTGCAGTACTGCAGTCTATTTCAGCTGATTGCTAGCTGCAGTTCGACAGTTCAGATTTCACCGGCTCAAGGTTGACTCAGCCTTCCATCCTTCCGAGGTGGGTAAAATGAGACCCAGATTGTTGGGGGCAATACGTTAACTTTATAAACTGATTAGAGAGGGCTGTAAAAGCACTATGAAGTGGTATATAAGTCTTAAGTGCTATTGCTATAATTTTTAAAGAGCAACTATCATCTGTGTCCTGCAGCAGCTCCTCCTCTGACCCGCTGTTGACTCAATGACAGGCCCAATATTGCAGAATATACAGCCTCATGCTACATAACTAAGCTCCATTTCATACTGAATAAACTAAATTATTAATGTATCTTAAATAGAAAACCATCTTTAGATAGATTTTTACTCCAAAAGTATTTTATTAAAATAAATGTAATTAAAAAAATTGATTTAAATCAAAAAATTTGATTGAAATTTTAAAAAATGTTTTTTTTTTCTAAAAGAAATCATCGATTTTTATCCATCCTGATTCATACTAGTTCATGCTATGGACACAATTCCTGTTTATATGTTTGGCATTTTCATAGAAAGATAGTGTTGTGGTTCAACAGCGGCTGGCTGAGCTGTTGCTGGAATCTGACAGCGATGAACACTATGGGACTGCCCTGGAAGCTGAGGAAGACTGGGGGGTGTTTGGAGTCAGAGCGGGGACTAGAGAGGCCTGTTGGCCACCAGATGGCGTCTGAGTCAGGGAGCAGTGAGGAAGAACAGAGGGAGGCTGTCCCTGACATACGTATGCGTAGGGCTGAGAGGAGGAGGGAGCAGCTTTGGAAAAAGGCTCATAGAAGGAAATAGGAACAGGTGGCTACTGATTGGCTCCTCCCGAAGAGCTTATAGGTGAGGCGACAGGAGGGAAATTTTGCAGGAAACAACAGTTTACTAATCCAGGCGTAGTGAAAGAATTTTGTGGGTTCAAGCCTTGTTTTCATAGAGATAATTTTCTGGGCTCCTAGCCAAGGGGTTGCTTATCTCCCTCCTTAGTTGTGGCAGATAGCCAAGTCTGCATCAGTATATATTAGAGGCTTGGGACAGAACAGATACTAAGCGTTTGCTTTTTACTAGTAGATATATGCACAGCTGTGAATTTCATAAATAACCAAAAAATAATAATAATAAAAATCTACCCAAGGGAAAGATGTCATCTAAAGATATTAATATGACTTTTCCTGCTGAGAATAAATTCTCTATAAATAAGTCAGATGGAGTTATTTCTAAGTTGACAAACATAGTCCTATAGTGTGAATTGCCCATATGTTCCTTTCCCCTCTTCCATAGCCTGAAGCTCTGACCTGTGCTCTAAAACAAATGCTAACGTTTGCTTGTTCAACCACATTCCATCACAATGCAGGTTTTGGTGTGGTAGTTCTTGGCCAATAATCAGCAACCTTTGCCAAGTATAAAAGAACAAGTGTTTAGCCACATACCATCTTGATTTGTTTTATGGGATTATTACCAATTTTGCTTGAAGAAACAGTAATGAAAATATAATCCTTTTAGATATTGCTTCCCAGGGCACTTTTAAAGGTTTTTAGGTTGACCATCTTCCTATTGAAGGTCCTAAGCAGAGCAAAGCAACTCTTGCTTGGCAGAGAGGTGAAGCAGCCATGTTGCTTTAATCATACTGCTTCACTTTCCTCCTCTGCAATTTCATCTGGCATGAAAAGTACCCGGAGCAGGATTTTCCAGTGGTGCTCCACTCATGCCAACTTCTCTGCTACCTTCTGTGTGCATGATGTGGAGAAGACCCAAAGATGGTGGTGGTGGTAGTGGGGGAATGACATTCCTGTTTGGCTTAAGGAGACAGATAGTGGTACTTTCACAGCGTGAAGGCTTTCATTAAGGTTAATCCAGATTGCCTTGTATACATAGGCAGATCTACAGAGAACTGAAGAAGCTTCTTGGATTAGAAGCAAAATGTCTCCAAGGAAAAACAAAGTCCAGTTGCCTTTTGAAAAAGCACCTTTGGGACAATCATGACCTGGATAAGTGAGAATTTCCATAGACGGGCAGATCTACATTTACAGTCCTCCGAGCTGTAATCCGAAATTAAGCCCTTCTATGTACTATTAGTTTTTAGTTGCTACCAGTTGATCAATTTTTAATGCATTCCTTCCTTACTGGGTTTGCACCCAATTTTAGGAGGAGCCCATAGAAAGGCTTGGCATTCCAGAAATCCCCAAAGAGCACTTTGGTCAAAGGCTTCTTGTCAAGTGTTTGTCTCTAAAGTAAGTATTAACTTAGCCAGTTTGATTTTTCATTTTTGGAAATGCTGTTGTATTTTCTTCTCTATCAGAAGTGATTCGGAATTTAAGATAATTGCGGAGGGGGGAGGGGAGAAAGGACAGTCACATGGATACACATATACACAGACACACACATACATAATACTTATCTTGTCAAACTAAGGTTGCCAACTCCAGTGTTTTCCCACAAACATACGATTTCCACATTCTCCAAATAGCATTTAAATAGTGGAGGCACTATTAAATAGCAATTGAGTGCAGCTGAGGCGAATGACCTGTCTGAATGTTTCATATTCACAACTATGAATAATATGCCCCTTAGTTGCAAATTACTTCTATCTCTTCCTGCCTCTTCCCAAAAAGAGTAGCTGAGGTACATTTCTTCTGAATAAAATGTAAACTGAAATATAAAGGCTTTTTAATTTGATGGAATGTAAGAATACAAGATGGAGATTTATAATGCCATGCGCTGAGAAAATAGAAAAAGAGAACTTATTTTCCCATAACGTTAAACTCAAACCGTGCAATGAAGATTCAGTTTTTTGGCCTAGTGGTGAAGGCACCAGGCTAGAAAGTTGGAGGCCATGAGTTCAAATTGTCCCACCTTAGCTAGGAAAGCCAGCTTAGTGATTTTGGGCCAATCACTCTCTCTCAGTCCAACCTACCTCACAGGGTGGTTGTTGTGAAGAAAATAGGAGGAGGAAGGTGTGTTGGATATATTCGCCACCTTGAGTTATTTGTAAAAATAATTAAGGCAGGATACAAATTAAATAAATAAAAATAAGGAAAAAACCCAAGAAAGAGATTAGGAATAGTGAACAGAAGCCTAGAATATGTAACTAATACATAGAATTTGCTGGTTGGGATAGAACACCTTCTCCAATACAATAGTGACTAGATGGATTAAACATGAGCTAACCTAATACTCATGCAACAACGCTAATTTCCATGCTGGTTGGGAATTTTGCAAGTTGCAATCCATTGTTTCTAAAAGGCACCACTTTAAGGCAAACCGAAGCTCAGAAATCCAAGATCTCTTTAAACCTTGAGGCAGCCAGCAAAGCATTCGCCGGGGAGCCAGGAAACTTGTTAAACAAGTTTAATGAAGTGGAGCTCCAGAATAGAGGGTTACCTGTAGTTGGTTCATTGCCTATAACTCTTCTCTAATAACAGGAGGTAAAAATTTTACTGCTATTCCCTTAGAGAAATAAAGCACAAAACTGATTTTCCACATGACTTTATTCATCTTGTCTGTCCTTAGTTCTGTCAACATTCCTTGTCAGGGAGCGCCAGTTACTAGAGCTTTTGAAACTGAGATGTAAGTGTAAGTAACTCCTAGTGCAGGGTTGCACATCTCTGCCCCCTTTACGAGCTGTGGACTTGAAACAAAAGTCCTGGCATTAATTCAGCTAATTCTGAGCATTTTTCTGTTACAGTGTTCCATAAGACCCTATAACATAAAGTCGTACACATGCAACAAAGTAGTATATCAATAGGCCCTTTGCTGAGCACTATTTCTGTTAGATCTCAGAAAGGATATTTAACATAAAGAGCTCCTGAGTATTTTGTACGGATGTTCCAGAAGCAGTCAGAACTTTGTCAAGTTTCCCAAAAGGAGACTTGTGCTTTGGTGGACTGAATGATGGGAGTTAAGATATGGAAGGCCGAAATCCACTAAGTTGGAGCCTTGTGTGCCAAAAATAAAAACTTCAAAATTGACTCTGTTAGCCCAGTACAAATGCAAAGAGAAAAATCTATAAATCTATTTTGCTAAATGTGTGGATAGCTGGGGAACTTCCACTTTAAATATATTAATTCAGCAGATAATGAAAGTCTGGAAGTTTTTAACATATATGTCAGCCTGGTGTATTGTTGTTAGGTTGCGCAAAGTCAGAAGAAATCTCAATTTATCATTTACAAGAATGGGGGACACAGATGATGAGCAGAATCACTAATACGTTTTGTTTTGTAAATGAATACGGCTGTTGTCAAGTATCTACTTAGATTCATGGTCTGGGAAACCAATAGCGCTTTTCATCTCAGTTAAGTGAACTGTAGGATAAATAGAATCAGGAAATAAGAAAGAAAATATTCAAGAAAACAAAGGCTTAAAACACTGCTAGTAATTTAGAACAGTAGGGTATTCTCATGTTGCGACTGAGCTGTGTGCTGAAATAGATGCCTTTGTTCCTTCTACAAGTGCTCAGTTTCCTCCTCTTGAGTTTCTTGGGCCACAAATGTTGCCCCCCCCCCCAGTTTCAATAACTGCCATTGAGCTTTAACATGGCAAAAGGGAGAAATTATTAAATATATGGGGAAATGATGCCAATTGCAGTTATATTGATCATATGTTTTTCTCAGTATGGGCCTGGGCATGCTATATGAATATGTTCACTGTGTTGAACAAAATCACCACATTAATAAAAAAATTAAATTTTAACATGATGTCCTGAGCTGTGGAGCCTTGTTATTTTTCCAAGTTATAATTGCAAACCATTTTTTTAATGATTCCTGGTTCATTTTGTAGAAATCAGATAAGGGCTTCAGTTTGGACTACAAAGATTTAAAGTTCCCACTTAGTTTAATCCTTAGTTAAAAGTATTTCTGAAGAAGATGGCTATATGCAAGCACACAGTTCATACTATCTACACAAAAGTAACAATATCAAAAAGCTTTACTTTTTGTTTTGGTCAAAAATCTTTACAGTAGAACCTTTCTATGCCAACTTGGGTAGGCAAATTATTATGCTTTTTTTGAAACTTCAGAAGATGAAGCTTTGGTTTTGTACATGTGAAAATGTTTTTGGAATTTATAGAGATCAGTCATTTATGTTTGTAACATTTATAGGCTGTGTTAGGTAAATGTAAAGGTTCCCCCCACATAGTCGTTTCTGGCTCTAGGCACGGTGTTTATCTCCATTTCTAAGTCAAGGAGCCAGCTCTGTCCAAAGACATCTCTGTGGTCATGTGGCTGGCATGACTAAATGCTGAAGGTGCATGGAACACTGTTACCTTCCCATCAAAGTGATCCCTATTTTTCTACTTTCATTTTTTACGTGCTTTGGAACAGCTAGGTTGGCAGAAGCTGGGACAAGTAATGGAAGCTCACTCCGTTACGTGGCTCTAGGGATTCGAATCACTGAACTGTCAACCTTCTGATCAACAAGCTCAGCGTCTTAGCCTGAGCCACCGCGTCCCTTAGCCTGTGTTAGGGTTATATAAATGGATAGAAAGTTTATTAATTGGTTAGTAATTCAACCATATAAAAAAACAAACCAAAGTATACAGGCTCTAATCATAGATAACAGAAAATACAATATGAAAGATCTATTCTTTCTTGGCCTTTTAGCTGAGATTAAATGAAGTATGTAGAAGTTGGTTGAATCCAATGTTAAAAACAGTGTGGAAAAAAGTGCAGTTGCACAACCAGTGGAAGATTTCTTTTTATTGAGTTGATATATTGAGGTAACTTTATGTATATAAAGCAGCATTCAGAGAGACTTGATTTTTTAATAACTCTATTATAATATCTTACTATCCTTGCAATTGTGCTCAAAGCTTTTATTTGGTTGCTATTGTATGCATCTTGGTGAAATACCTTGAGGTACTTGAATGCTTAAACCAATGGCCCCCAACCTTTTGGGCACCAGGGACTGGTTCCATGGAGAGAGATTTTTCCATGCACCAGCGGGGGCCTGGTTTTACTTGTTGACTGCATCCCGTGGATGGGGCTTCACTTGTTTGTGCGGCCCAGTTTCTGTCATGCCGCGGCCCAGTGCTGGTCCCTGGACTGGAGATTGGGGACCCCTGGCTTAAGCAATGCTTATTAGTGTTAGATTCTTAAAGTCATAGAATAGAATCATTGTAGTCAGTCATAATCCTAATTAAATATCTCTCTGTGTGCCTGTGGAGTACATATAGTTGAAGTGAAATGAAGGTGGTTGTGTGTAATGATGGTTGTAATTAATCTTTTTCTTTTCTCGGAAGATTTGAAATTGAAATAGAGCCCATTTTTGCAAGTTTGGCATTATACGATGTTAAAGAAAAGAAGAAGGTGAGTTGAGGCTTACTTGCTCCGGATGGAACTTGAATGCAGTATACTATATGAGATATTAGTGCTTCTATGCTCAGCACTTGTAATGTTGCCTTTATTTTGTTTACCATTATGATATAAGAATTACATCAACAAATTCAAAATGGAAAGGCAGTCCATTTGAGGAATAACAGAAAAGTTACTGTACTGTAGGCCAAACTGTGTCACAAGTGACTCTAGCAAATGTATGAACAGCAGGTGTTCAGACACAATTATAGCTTTAATCCAAAAGACCATGTTTGCCCAGCCTCAATTAATCCATGCTTGGTTTAAAGTGTGCTTGACAGGTATGCATACATATGCACATTCCAAATCACATTTTGCCCTCCTAATCTGAGCCTTGTGCAGTCCTAAATGGCATAAAACTATGTGAAAATATAAAAAGTATCTTAAGTTATCTCTAGTGGTTATAAGAGTAGCTATATTATGAACTGGTATGAAATTTTAAAATTCTGTATTTGGTGAAGAATATTTATTTATTTGTCTGGATGACTAGTTAATAACCTGTAATTAGCTAGCTTCTTGTTTTAGATTTCAGAGAACTTTTTCTTTGATTTAAACTCCGAACAAATGAAAAGCATGCTGCGACCTCATGTTCCCCCTGCGGCCATAACCACTTTGGCTCGTTCAGCCATCTTTTCTATTACATACCCTTCCCAAGATGTCTTTCTGGTAATAAAGGTAAGATTTTTCTTCTCTTGTTCAAAAAAAGAATATTTTATGTGATGATAAAGGTTGGGAATGTAGCTGTCCAATATATGAGTATTTAAAAATTAGAGATGAAAGTCATTTAAAAGTCTGCTGGAATATATAATTTCATAAGACTTGAATATTGTTCGTAGGTAATCATCTTTCTTTATATAGGTAGGGAGAAATATACAAGGTGTAGATGAAGAAATTGTTTTTAAGAGAAACAGCAGAGCCAAATAACAAAGCATTATATAAATGCATACATATACACACCATTCTTAAAGGAAATAAATCCTGACTGTTCTTTGGAAGGACAGCTACTGAAGCTGAAGTTCAAATAGTTTGGTCACCTAAAGAGAAGTGAGGATTCATTGGAAAAGCCCTCATGTTGGAAAAGATGGAAGGCAAAAGAAGAAGGGGATAGCAGAGTATGAGATGGTTAGATAGTGTTAACAACACAATGAACATGAACTTGGGCAAACCCTATGAGACAATGGAGGTCAGGGAGGAACCTGACATTCTATGATGTGTGAAGAGTTGGACACGACTTAGTGACTGAACAACCACAAAATACACAACATAAAATGCATTATCAAGAAATGAAAGAAGTTTGGCAGAGGTCAATTCCTTCCCCTTTCTCAAAAATGTAAGTGATGGCACAGGTGATAGCCCCGACCCTGTGTTTAGATGTTGTATTCTATTATTGGAAATTACACATGCTTTCTTGGACATATTTTCATATACAACAGGGAGTATGCCTGCAGATTATACATGTATAGCTACTACCTAAATGCTGATTTTTGTCTTTCCTCTCCTCCTGTGGTTACCCTACATTTGTAAGTGTTCCTTGATCATTCCAGGCCTTACATACGTAAGAAACACCTATTAATGGGCAAGGGCATAAGCTCTGCTAAATGAACAAATGAAAACAAGATGTATAATTAGGCTGGTCTCCCAGTAGGGAATTTTAGAGAATTTTCATATTGATGAAGACTTGAGTCCATAACAAGCAAATCTAAAAAGATGGGACTTCTTATTCTCTTAGTCAGAAATTTCAAATTGGCAATTGGGAGATAAGGAATTGGCCTGTCCTCCTTTGTGCAGATGTGACTGCACCTGCTTTTTACCTTTATGACTGTGGCTTATATAACTAGTCACAAAAAATTACCTCTCTTCCTAGCTGTAGAATTTAGTAATTGATTGGAAAGTTCAACTTCAATCACATATTGTATATACGAAACATGTTTCCTAAATCATACCAATCCTCCTTTCTGCCTCCTTTTCTTTGAGTAGTTGGAAAAGGTACTACAACAAGGAGATATTGGGGAATGTGCTGAGCCATATATGATTATGAAAGAAGCAGATGCTGCAAAGGTAAGCACTTTTTAAATTTTTCATCCAAAAGTATATTGTGCCCTGCACTTAACAGTAGATTGTTATATTCATTAAAGAAAGGGGAGCAGTTCACATATAAGAGATACAAATCATGAATTGCAAGTCATTCTACTGACAAATAGTGCAAAATGAAGCAATTTGCAGTAATTCCCATTCCCCTTGTATTTTAGCCTTTTGGAGATGCCAAAGTTGCTAAAGTTTCTATCTATTCTGTTCTGCTTCTGAAACCCATTCTCATAAGTAATTTGCTTGAGTAAATTTTTGGGAGGATTTAGACATATTGCTCAATTAGATTTGCCACTATGTGACTAAGCCAGAATCTTGTATCTTGACTCTTGCCTCTTGCCTCTTTGCATCATGTCCCCATTCTTCCTCTTTAAATGAAAATTTGTGGTTTACTGTTGCCCCATAACATAATTATGTGCTATAATAAATGGAAAGCTACCAAGATAATGGTTTGAAATTCTGCTCTGTAAAAAAATAGAAGAAGCCCTCCACAATTGAGCCCAAAAATTCTTTTTCTCAGTGACACGGTTGTTAAATGAGTTTTGTCCCATTTTATGACTTTTCTTGCCACAATGTTGTTGTTAAGTGCAGTTGTTCAGTTAGTATCACGGTTGTTCAAGTGAATATGGCTTCCCCATCGACTTTGTTTGTCAAAAGGTCACAAAAGATAATCACATGACCCCAAGAACTGCAGCTGATATAACTGTGATTCAGTTGCCAAGCATCCAAATCCAAATTTCACACTTATAACCACTGTAGCATCCCCATGGTTGTAAGTGTGAAAAACAGCCATAGGGCACTATTTTCAGTGCTGTTGTAACTTCAAAAGATCACTAACTGAATGGTTTTAAATCGAGGACTACCCATATTTAACTATAAAATATTGTTAATACTTTAGAGGTATTGGCATAAATCTAGAAAGAATTTTGAATAAATAATAGCTCTGTTTGAGCTGCTTTTTTATAATCTTGCATCAGTCTCCTTTTGTTTGGTTGCAACAGATATTTCCTCTTGTAGATACAGTGTAACTTGTAATTGTTTAGAGATATATTGTGGGAATTCTTTTGGGTTCTATTAGTGACTTAATTGTAAATTCTGTGATTTTCACTTTCAACTAGAGGCAAATCCTTTCATTTGACCATGCATATTTAAACCACATTTAAAGGTTAATTGCATTACTTAACATAATATTAGGAAAAAATCTTTAATTCATGTGAGGAATATATACAATCAAATGCTTCAATTAAACAAATCCTTATTTCCGACAGTATATTAAAAATAATTCTTAGAAATTGCCAAGTTTCAGCTTTTAAACATGAACTGACATGTTATAATTAGCAGAGAACTATTAATGTTTTAGAAATATTTCAGTTGTGTAAACAGGTTTATTTGCTTGTTTTTATTTTTGCAGAACAAGGAAAAACTAGACAAACTGAAAAGCCAATCAGAACAATTTTGCCAAAGACTTGGCAAATATCGCATGCCTTTTGCGTGGACTGCTATTCATTTAATGAATATAGTCAGTAGTGCTGGAAGTTTGGAAAGAGATTCTGCAGAAGTAGAAATTGCCACTGGAGGTAGATATGTAAACATTACAAAAAATTGAAAATAAGTCTTAGCAAAAAACCAATATGTGAAATTGTTTGCTTTTTTAAAACTACTTACTTACTAGCCACAATATTTGTTTTGAGTTATGTACTATCTGTTACTTTAAAAAACAGCATTTCATTACTAGTGGAAATAAATGCACATATAGTATATATTTAGAATATAGAATATGCTGCTGAAAACAAGCAAATGGATTAGAGATGCAAAGGACTGCAGATTTTGCTGCCAAAAAGCTAGGTTACCTAGTGGGTTTTAGTGTCTGGTGAATTTTAATATTTTTGGAATGTGGAGTCCTTGGTGCTCTCTGAGCTTGGTTGCTTTCTTGCAGATGTTTCATTACCCAAGTAGGTAACATCTTCAAGGCTAGAAGGGAATGTGGTTTGTAATGCCTGAACAAAACTTACCTTCCCTTTTTTTCTTTTCATCTGGTTCAGATAATTCTTCCCCTTATCTTAATCCAAGTTTATTCTATTTTGTTGCCTCTTTCTTTCTTTCTTTCTTTCTTTCTTTCTTTCTTTCTTTCTTTCTTTCTTTCTTTCTTTCTTTCTTTCTTTTTCACCCTACCTCCCTCCATTTCTGCAGCTGCCCATTTCAGTCAATGATACTGGTGTCAACTCATAAAGCTAAGTTAGCTGAGTTAATTAGGGCATCTTACGGAAACCTGACAACTGGATGGCTTACAATTCAAAAAGGAAAAAAAACATAATTATTAAAAATACTAAAAACA